CTACGAACGGCTACACTCTGACCCGTCAAAAGCTTCTCAAGCCAAACGCTGCCAGCTGCAACGGCTCGAACGAGGGGACCGGCCCAAGGGGAGAAATTACGGTTTAGAGCTTGGGGCGGCCAACCACACGAATTACTTGTTTTTTCACTCCCCACATAAGCACCACACCCTACATCCTAAACCCCTATACCTAAACCCCACATCCTAAACCCTAAACCCTAAACCTCATAAGCCCTAAACCCTACACCCAGGCCGCAGCCAGAGACTCCTTCAGTGTCTCCGCTGGTGAGTACCGGCGTGAACAACAGTATCCCCGAAGACATTGAAGAGTCACCAGAATAGAGTTATTATATGGGATTGTTCAGCGTTACTGTGCGGGTTGCGATGGTACAGATATACTTTAACACTTACTGTAAGGGACGAGCTGGAGACCGGCTCGTTAGAGACTAGAAACTTCGTTTCTCAGGCTAAGAGCAGCGCCAAGCTTCCAACACCCGTGCCAGAAAGGCATCACCCAGCTCCTCGGGCCGAACAACAGCAAGAAGAACCAAAAGAAAATCACGAGCAGGAGCAGTAATGTCATGCAACGACCGATGTGATCATAGCCGTAAAGGCCCTAACCCTAAACCGTAAAGGTAGTGGATCTGAAGCGATGGTACGCTGTTTCGGTTGAAACGCCGACACCCATATCTCCAGAGCTCAGAGGCCTCTCGATTCAGGGGGCCAAAAGCTCCATCCATACCCGAAGTCCCAAGAACACCCCAGAGTAGAGTAGCAGCTCCCCAGTCCGAAGCACTGAAAGAGAGCCCTTGTCATACCCCCTTCTACAATCTTTGAAGGAGCCACTTGGGTGCATGACGGCGAGTGTCACTGGAGAGCTGTGGGGTCTTGCAGAGTGTCGGCGGAAGTGTCGGCATATCGCTGGCTTCGCTCACAACCCGCGGCTTGAATTTGCCAGGACCCTGCAATCTTCTGACGGCTGGGTGTAGCTGTAGGTAGGGTTGTTGACTACAACAATCATCAAATTATTGACAGAACATCGCTAAACCCTAAACCCTAAACCCTAAATTTCTTATAGTGAGCCTTTTTTCAGTTTCCTGTAAGACCCAAACAAGCTTCCTACGTCGATTCCCATCAGCTCCTCTGAGACGATGAAGCCTTGCCTGGGCCACACTCGTGCTCTTTGTCCGGACTTTCGACGTGCTCTGGTACCCAGAGACTCCAAAACCCC